ATCGCATGACGTATTTTTGATTTTGTTTTTATTATTTCCATTCTCTATTTCTATGCCAACTGTTTTCGTCTCATCTCGCAAATTCGTCGATTCTGATAATTGTTTTACGTTCTCACTTTTACTATTATTATTTCACTTTGTTCCGGATCGTTCGACTCTTCTGTTTCCGTTTTTGTTTTCAGAAATACTCAGATCGAAGCGACGATGAATAACATGGGAAAAAGAATGATTTCGTTTCGTTTAATTTCGTAATTTTCTCGATCGACCTCTTTTTTTCCCCATCGATGATTTTGGAATTTTATGTTTGTTAAACGACTCGGACGATGTTTTAATTTATCGGTCGATTATTTTATTAATATATTATATTATATCATAGTGTGTATTATATTACATTATTGTACAATTAATATTATTATTATTACTCGTACATTTATCTCGTATCTTTTAGCGGTGGATTCTCGTTTAGAATGGTAGACATTAAATTAAGGTATAGTTTAATTTAAGACTTTGCATTTTTCTTTTTTATTCTCGATTTCTATATATCGATTCGTTTCAATTCGGGAATGACGGTGCAAGGCAGAGATCTCAAGACAATATCTATAATTTCCGTTGAAGCCTGATCGTTTAGAAACTTGGATCGATGATCGTTGCAATTTGGTCATAGTCGTATGTGCCAAACGGCTAATTCTATGTCCCTGATTCTTGAGTTAGATCGAGAGGATACGAACGGTTTGGCAATTTCGTACTTTTCATAGTTTCGTCGCTCGGCTCCTAAATCGGACCCCAGTCATTGTCAACATTCTTTTTCCTTTTGTCGATTCGCTGTTTCGTAAATTAAATTCTTTAGTGCCAAAAACAAAAAAGAGATAGAAACAAAGGGAAGAAAACTGAAATACGAACAACCGAGACTGTTCTCTATAAGAATTATAACGAAACGGAACGAGGAAGGAGGGAATGCGCTTAGCTTGCTCGCTACATACTATTTTTATGATTAATTTTTCTCGTTGATTATTTATTTATAGCGATTCGTTGAGCTGAGTGTTCCATTCGCCGCGGCAGCGACCGAGTGTCAATGATTTTAGATTTTTAATAGACGGACCGAATAAGCAAAATAAAAAGGGAGTATCTAAGAAATGGGAAAAGTATATATATATATATATATATATATATATATATATATATGTATGTATGTGTATGTATATGTATACATACGCACATACAGTGGATGAAGAAAAGCAAAAAAAGAGGACAAGAAAGAATATTAAATGATTATTAAAAAATCCTTGCTTAGTCAGTTAAAGTACAAATGTTTAAATGTATTCTATGATTCTAGATGATAAGTGAGACGACGAGAAGAGGGTGAGAAAGTAAGAGAGAGAGAGAGAGAGAGAGAGAGAGAGAGAGAGAGAGAGTCAGGTAGCGGAGCGTATGAGAGAGAGAGAGAGAGAACGCATAGCAGCGTATAAAAACTTTGTTTCATTCCTTGATAAGCCTCTGATAGCTTTATTTATATTTGCATTAGTTACTTGACGTTTAATAATACTTAAACCAGCAAACGAGAAATATATATTTGGGCTGAGAGAAGGCAACAGAAAAGAAAGGGAAGAGAAGTATCTTTGTTTTTTCTCTCATGATATACCATATACATATATATACACACACATATATGTATACAAAGCCGCGAATTACTTTGATATCGACATGTTCCTTTGTTTGTTTTTTTTCGGAGATGTTTTCTTTGACATATCAAATTGACCACAAATGGACGTACTAAGGAGAAACCGTTGCATTCCATTGGCGTCATCGGTGTACGCCCTTCAATGATCCCCATGATCTCTCTGTTTTTTCACTTTTCCAACGTCAAGCTTGTTGAACCTGGCAAGAAAGAAGCCAAGTAACTGCTCCACCCCACCCCCGCCCGCAGCCCCACCCCCAAAGTCCTACTGTCCAAAGTAATATTCCATCGGGATCGGAGACACAATTGAACGTCCTCGAAACTAATTAGAAACGGTTCTTCTAAGATACTCTGAGAGAAATCTTGTATAGTCGCTATATAGGCTGCAAGAAAGATCTGTCTGGGTTGTTTAGTTTTCGATGATAGAGCGTTTCTGGACGTAGTGTCTGGCTCGGCGTTCCATTTCCAGAAAGAGTTCGAGGGGAACAAGTGAACTTTTGGGTGATCGCGAGTCTTGAGAATGAATAGGCAGGTAGGGAAAAAGCTTCGGGTCGAATGGTTTCTTAAAAAGGAATTGCTAATATATTTTACTCCTAGTTTGTAATTTATCGTTCCAAAGTCTCGTCGCAACAGTGGCGATCGAATAATGATTTCCATTGGTAAAAGTTTCTCGCTACGATATCTGTACGATTCTGTATAACATAGTACAGAGATCAATGGCACTGTACCATATTTAAGTGCAGATTTCTTTGGACCAGGGCTCATCGGTCATGTCAAATATTGTTTTAGTCTAGGTATCTTTGGTGATCGCAAAATCCTACGCCTGGAAGCTCTTGATACAATCTAGTCACGAAGGGTTCGAAAGAGTTCACAGCCTCGAACTTTATTGAAGCTGCGACAGGTTTCACAGGATTGATCGAAAGAGTTGGTTTATTCTCGAAGCAGTGACCGATACGTTCGACTCAGACCCGACCACATCAGACTGCAAATCTATATCGTTTTGCGAACATCTCTTGACAATGTCGTGATAAAACATTTCTTCTAACGATCTTTGGGTAATAAATCAAAAGCATTGTTCGAAAGCATCGAATACATTTCTCTTTTGAAAGGTTGCATTTGTTAGAATAGAAAGGGCAGATAGAACACACACGAAGAGAGAGAGAGAGAGAGAGAGAGAGAGAGAGACTGGTGAGGGGTGAGACGAGAGAGAGAGAGAGAGGAGGGGGGGCAGAACGATAATGAACGCCGAGCCATATACATGTACAATGTTAAGGACAACTCCTTGTATACCAGAGAACTTGAAAGAGATATAACGTTTGAAACGATATATGTATAGAATTTAACGTGTAGTAGGTATTGTGCGTACGTCTGAAACAGGAACAAAAGAGCAAATAATAAGCTACAACATTGTGTCCCAAAAGACGAGCAAATGGGACAAAGCAAATGGAAGGAACGAAATCCACTGTTCAATGTGTGCGTAAACCATGTATTCCTGAAACCTCCATTGGTATTTTTTATTAAATGGGACTATTCGTAAAATATGGGATGGAAAAATGGATTTTATATGTTCCGACGAGTCGCTTACACTTCGAAAAGAGTGGAAGAGTTGAACAACACTGTATAAAAGGATAGTACAAGACAAGAGGAAACGGTAAATCGTAAATGCAATATGGAGAAAGCGTGTATTCCAAATATATTTTTTATATATGCTAATGGGATGCCAAGGAGCATGGTCGCGTTATAAACGTAAATGTTGTATTATTTATTGTTACACGTACTGTAATATGTAACGTGCACACACATATGTCGGAACGTGTAATCGATTGTCAGTCCCCCAAGACTATTCAGCCTTTAGACGTAAAATAATATGTGTATACATATATATATATTTATAGTCGCGAATTTTCATTTTCGAGATATTTCAATATTTACATAAATATATATATATTTATATACATGCTACGTACGTACGTACATACATATGTATATCCATTTCTCGATTAAGCCCTTCAACAACCAAACAAACAAACAAACAAACAAACAAAAAATAAGAAGAATGCGATACCTTTGACGATTCTAATTTTAATTTCTCCTAAGCCCCCACGAATTTCCCCAAAGTTTGTTAAACCTAGTCTTATATATAACACATACCTATACACACATAGATACAAAGAAGAAGACTGTAAGTATATATGCGTGTATATCTGTGTTAGGTATACATATACATAGATATATGTGTATTCAACCCGAGGTCTCTCCTTTCATTTAACGCGGGTTTTTCGCTTATTATTATTATTATTATTATTATTATTATTACTATTTACTATTACGATTATTATTATTATTATTATTATTATTATTATATTTTTCCTTTTTTTTCTTTTTTCTTCTACATCGTACCTACTAAATTTTAGTTTCATTTTTATATGGAATATTCAAATTTATGGTATTATACGTATACACATCTATATACACTTTTACAAGCAACAATAAAAAGAAAAAAAAACAAATGAATAAATATTTTAATCTACATAACTATATTATTATGTAATTAAAGATATATGGAGACATTTGCTACTTATATATTTGTCAAATGTATCGCACGCTCGCGCGTGTGTGCGTTTGGAAAGGTTTTTTCGCGGGACGGGCGTAAAAGGCATTTTGAGACACTCAGTGTCTGGTTATTGTTGATACGGTGTGCGTTGGGTGTTACTATATGTACCGACGACCACGGAGGGTGATAGATTAGTGTATGTACAGTTGTTCCGTGAACTTTAAACGATTTTTCTCGCCATTTTACCTGTCAATTCGCCTTCGCCTTGGCGGCCCGCGGCGATACGTTTCCAAAGCCGGTTATATTAAAAAACTATTGCAGTTCTTTGAAACATTGTAGAAACATACGTTCTTGTCTTTGCGCATAGGCTGCAAAAATGCAATAATAATATATTGTGATGCTCACGAAAGCACATAACATAATTTACCAAAATTATAATGTTTAAAAATATTTCTTGTGATTTTGGAAACTGTTATATTTTTTATTTTCCTGCCAATTGTTTAATTTGTAATGTTGTTCTTTGTTCTTTTTTCAATAAAGTAAGCAAACAGACCAGGCAGAGTTTTTAATACCCTCGTCGCACCAATGTCTAATTCTCGCATTGATTCCATTGCGAATCGTCTCGGGATGATACGGCCAGTACAGGTACAGGTACAGGTACGGGTACGGGTACGGGTACAGGTATAGAAGGCACAGGCACAGCCACGGGCCCAGGCATAAGAACGGCTACGGGAACAGGAACAGAGGCGGTACGTATAGAAAAGAAACGTGTTCGTTGATCCATCGAGCAAAGAGTGTGCCTGTATTTCATAAATATTACTTTAATAAATATTTTTTCCTTTTGCTTGTTTTGCTTAATGCGATCAATCGGAATCGTCCGAGTCACGACGATATTGTTGCTTGGACAGTTGCTCGTGTAACTCCAGAACATGCTCGATCGGCTTTGGTTTTCCATCTGCTCCGATCCGACATGGTGCCACTAATCCTTCCCTAAAACGATAATATGTACTTGCTACATTAGAATAATCCCGAGTCTCGGTATCGTTATAGACTGTGATTATCCGTCTCTATACTGACCTCGTTAATTTATCTACCAGACCTACAAGTTGCATTGCTTCGTATTCCTTTTGCTCCTCCGACATCCCTTCCAAAGGATTTGGTTTTGGAAGCTCGAAACAACCGGTCACCGGGTTAATCCTTGGATGACAGTGGAATATTAAAAAGGGAAGCTTTTCAAATTATAGTAAATTCTCTCCAATTGTCTCTCAGGTTGTAAACAAAAACGGACAAGTCGGGAAGGGGAGAAGATACGATTATTCGCATATTGTCCATTTTTGTTGGTTACAAGCTGAGGGACGATTCGAGAGAATTTACCGTATCTGGAATATCTGAATTGTATAATTTTTTTTCTCAATGTTTACACTCACTGTTCTCTGTGCTTCAAGTACTCCTCAGTTTCGCTGTCTTCCGACTCCGAAGAATAATCTGCCTGTATCATTTTTGAGAACAGTAATCCCTTATTTGCGAACATGCCGGCAGCGTTTCCATATCCTGTGTACTTTACCATGCGATTAACTGCAAGTGACACATTATATAATTTCCATCTACTTTTCGACTCTTTCACATTACATACACGCGCGCGTACGTACGCACGCACGCACGCACGCACGCACACAAAACTCGTACCATTTTCTTTGCAGAGTATAAACAGAAACTCAGCGACCAGATCACGTAATTCTGTCAAAGGAGAAGTTAATAATTTACACAACTTTGCCCTTAGAGTTGTCCCCTCTTCAGGTCGATGCATTACATCTTTCAATGGAGGTAAGATCTGAAGCAATGAAAACACCTTGGTTAGAAATCGAAAATAAATTTAGAAAATGGACATGAAGAAATTTCTTCTACCTGTAATCTAGTGTACTTCCTAATTAATTTTTCGGTTTTGGCCATCCTAATCAATGTTGTAACGATTGGACTGAGATTTCCTATCAAATCGCCCTTACACTTCAATCTTTGGTCAAGAAATTTCAATAAAACAGACACGGCTGACATGTTCACACCTTGAAACATGTGCTGTCCTTTTTCTTTTGTCGGAGGTATGAACGTCGAGTAACAGCTGTACGGTACCACTGTCAGTAAATTCGCTATGTTACTGTGACAGAAGTTACCGCGGAGTAAGAAGTACAGTAATATCAAGGCACAGTGATAACAGCGCGCAGAGTCTACCTTTGCAGATCATCTTCCTTTTCGCATTTGAACAACAGCAACTTGTAAAGAGTTGAAATTAAATATTTATTCTTTTCTTCTTCTTCCTTATCTTGATCGTCGACTAAGTCATCGGAGTGCATGTACAAATTGAACAATGCTTTCAGTACCTCGCATACCAACATCGTTGACTCGATCTGCGAATCAAATTTTACACGAATATTTTCTGAACTCCGATATAATTACGACTACTGTACGGTACGACTACCTCGATGGTACCATTCTTTTCTTTTTCGCATTGATTTTTTATTCTTTCCAACATTTTGGCAAGACACGCGTCTCCTCTCAAATTTGTCTTAACTATCTGTCTCGTGGAACTGTTTGTCGCAGTGATTAAAAATAGGATTCTCGTATCGAACAGCATAACATTGTAAGAAGTACTGCTATTGTACTGTCTCATGCGTTCGATAAGACAAGAGAGACAAGATGTTGTTGGCGACGCTTGCTGTACATTTGTACTATTAAATATGAGATTGCATAGTAATTTTAAAGCTTCGATGGTAACTGTAAAACAAGCGAGTTGGTATATGTATATATATTATACTATTACAAAGAACAAATAGCTTACCATCTGTGAAAGTAGTCTGCTCTTCTACGCTAGCATCTTTCAAAGCTGCCTTTCCTAATATCAGGTTTAATCTGTCGTCTGTGACTAACTCGTTTAAATTTGTTTTATCACGGCTATGTTAACGGGGAGAAATGGTAAAATATAATATAATCGGTATTGAAATATAAAAGAATGAATCGAGTAAATCCCTTTTCTCGGTTGAGAAAAGTATTTGTTGGAAATAAAATATTTATTCGATACGAAAGTATAGAATTGATACGATAATTGATTCATGATAATTGTAGTTGACACGTGTTGCACAACAGTGCACGAAATACCTCAGAATTCGTAAAGCGGATAGGCAGTGTTGATGAATCGAAGATTGTGAATTATCGGACAAATAATTGAATAAAGTCTCCCATAGCTTTTCCCGTAATTGATCTTCGTTTAATTCGTCGAACGTGATCTTGGTTCCGTACTATAAAACATATAAATATAAAAGATGGAAGTGCGAGTCAATAATTAGTTTGAAATGTTCCTGTGGAAAATTTGAAATAAGGGTGTACTGACGTCTTCCTGGAAAATAACAATATCCTTGGAAAACTCCTCGGTCGCATCTGAAATTATTTTCTGTGCCAACGCGTTCATGTTGATTCAAGTATGTTAGGATTCTGGAATAATTGTAAACAAACACGATCTCGTAGCCCGTTGCTCGCAGGAGATTGACAGTTGCAGTTCCTGAACTGCGGAACGTTTCACTATGCGCCATGCGATATTGTGCGACATGCGATTCAATCCGCTGATACATCCAGGTTCGTTGACACGAGAGTTCATGTTTTTCCCGCCAGGTGACTGTAACGTTCGAAATTTCAACTTGAATACGCATAGCACAGCTCAGCGCACCGCTATTCACCGTTCACGATGCACATGTAATTATGAATACTACGCATTACACTGCACTACTTGCCGTGCTACAAGCTACACAGCGCGACGGCATCAAGTTATCAGGTTACAGTTACAGATTCCAATACTACGATAGGTTCGCTCGGTTCGAGTCCCTTTGAAACCCATTCTGCTCGGAACATTTCAACTGGGGAATAAATGTATGTACATAATTAGAAGAAAAGGGCTATGTCTTTCGTATGTCCATATACAGAAAAAGGAATGGAAAGCTACTTGGATGTGTATTATGGAAAAATGTCCCTAAAGGTGTAGAATTACTTTTACAAGGGAAATCGTTTCTCACGATTACATTGGCACAATACACGCCATTTATTATATCATTTGCATGTTTGATTCCTTCGGTTCACGTGACGAAGGAGAATCAGAACGCTCTCTCATAGCCTCGTATGATATGGCCTCGTAGCAACATTTAACCATGGATCGTGATTGACAATGCGATACACATGAGACGCAATAAGGCGCAAGGGTTCCCGAAGAGACGAGAAAGGGCGTGGAACTCGCAGTCGACACGAAACAGGTTTTCCTGTATTCGCGGGGCCCCTACTAATCTTTGAGGAAACTATTTAATGGGACTCTCAACGTTCTTCCTAACCTACAATTTATGCAGAGTCATTCTACAATTTACAGGATCTTGAAATCAATAAGAACTCTATTTTTTATGACGAAATGGATGTTTTTAGTTAAATGTAAGTTTCAATTTAATGCAGTACTTGGTTACACAATGATTGAAAATCTTGTTGATATACATATATGTACAATATGTAAAACGACGTTGTCGGCGTCAACATTCGTTACTATTCACAACCGTTTTTTAATGAGAAATGTTTTGAATAATCAAATGGTTTCTTGCCAATCATATTAAATATACGCATGTATATGCATACATACATATGAAGTATTTTGTATGTAGGCAGTAACTCTCGACTCTTGGTCAATGTTACGCCGGTAATCTGGTTCAACGACTTTCTTCCAGGCATTTCTTCGACTTTCCAGCGCGGATTACATCACATCCCTGTAATCGTTCTGGCTCCGGTCGGGTTTTTTCGTTTTTTTTTCGCCCGGAGGAGAAATGACGATACTCGGAGTCGGAAGAAATGCCGGAGAAACAGCGTTCGAGGAGACCGTGCAGAGGCGTAGAACTTGTTTCAAGTCAATTACTTTCCTATTCGACAAGGAATCGAGAGTATCGGGACACATTGGTATTTCCCTGAAGATTCTGCGTGCTACTGCTGTTTATTATATACACGTATATAATATGTAGGTTCAAAAGGGTACCAATTTTCCATTCGCATACAATTTCCTCATCGATTCATATGTCCTCATATGTACATATGTACGAACGTTGAAACAGTGTTACAAATAATCACAAGTTTGTATCGTTCTATAATAATATCGTAGGTTCGTTACAGAGCCAAGTTGGATGGTGACTTGCTATGTCATGTTGCAGGAAGTAGTTCATAGGCGTAGCCCGCATGTATCGCGATTTCTGTTGGACAAATTCCAAATCTTTGTTACAAAATTGCACAATCTTGAACTCGGAGAAGATCATGGAATAGTTGAGCTCAAAGCTCAATGACTGAACAAAGGAACTACTTGCTTCTATTCGTATGTACTATTTTTGTCGTTTGCATTCGCACGAATCGCACGTTACAAAGGCTATATTTCTCTCTCTCTCTCTCGCTCTATTTCTCTCTCTCTCTCTCTCTCTC